GGTGGGTTGATGCAAAGGTAAAAAACAAAGACCTTATGGAACCTGATGAGCACACCTTTTATATGGCTCCTCTTTTGTTCACAGCTATGCCAAGATGTACTATGGTTCCATATATCGTAAGACCCAAATGATTGTATCTAATAATCCGACGTGGAGCGCTGAGTTTAATTTGGGCAAGGTCAGTAAACGTTATCATCACAGATTAGCTGAAAAAGCTCAACAACAGACACACTGATACATTTACGCTGCTGATGCAGCAGAATTCATAGATCTAATACCAGCATCTATTTTTACAAAAATAGACATTCATTTACCGGCAGTGAGGATAATTGGGTTTTTATGCATCAGTCTAGAGAGAAAGCTGATCTATTCTTTGGTGCCATCAAAACTATTTGTTAGCAAACATTTGATATTGGGTCAAATATCATTTAATATCAGAAATCCATTGTAGTTTCAATTTCAACTAGATGATGTTAAATTATTGATTATGAACTAATTTGTCCTTCAACTTGTTGCTCACATGAACCAGCAGCCACAATAACAAGAAAAGAGCACCTCCCTTTAGGCCCGACTCGTTCTTGTTTCGGTTCTCAGAACCAACCTGGGTGTCTGTGGACATGCGGCTCCCACACTCACTGCTCTGCTTAACCTGTTGTTGAGACAGGAAGTGCTGACCCTCTCTTATTGCTTTTTCAAATAAATCATCAGCACAAAAACTTGGCTTTCTAAACAACAAATGCAGAAAATGAACCTTGAATGTCAAAATAAAAACATTTTGTCCAATTGTTTTCTCTGTCCTATTGATTGCTTATTTTCTCTTTTTTAAACTTGTTTGAAATTCAAATCAAATAAGACAAATCAAAGTATAAAATGATATGTAATGCAGACAAACTGCATATTCTGAACTTGGGGAATGTACAATCAACTCCATTTCTAGATCCAAGCCAGGCTGCAGACTCTTTATGTTTTGGGATACTGGGTCAGCACCTGAATGAAAAAGTATTTGGTTTTACTTGAATAGACCATGCACATTTCATGGTGTTTATGGTCGAGTACAAATAAAAGTAAAAGCTGAAAAAAATCTGAAAATATTTGAACAGAAACCATTTTACCCATATATTGTGTAAACAGACACAGCCTAGCTGATGTATTTCATATCTTGTGCTGTTGTGTTTCGGCTAACATTACTCTGCATTTATCAACTTTTGAGATGTGTGGAAAATAGTTTTATTTTCTATATCACCTAAATAATTTGACTATGAATGGGAAAATATGCATCTGAATGATCCTTCATTCCAATTTTCTCATGAAGGTTGACACAAGCCTGGAATTGAAGATCGAAGTTTGGGATGAAGACTGGATCCATGACGACCTTCTCGGAAAGTGCGTGAAGTACCTGAGCCCTGGCACTCACACTTTCACGTGCAAAGCAAAAAGAGGAGGCATTGAGGTTAAATACACGGTGACCTGTGACCCGTATCTGACTGGAGAAAAGTGCAGTCGTTATAAACCATCTCCTTTGTGACAAGAGATTGGTGAATTTTGGGAATGAAAGCATTTCAATTCATCATGTAACATTAACTCACTAAATCTGATAGAAAGTCACAATTTGTACTTAATCACTTAACTTTGTTAAAGACCTATCTAAATGTGTATTTATCACACAATGAAAAAATGTTAAGATTCTGTGTAACATTTAATCACAAGAAATAACTATGCTTTAATATATACAACCAGAAATTGTGTTCCCTTTAATGACAATAAAAATTTTGAAACTGCTACAAGTTGTTGACTTCATATATTTTTGAAAAACCTTGTATTAGTTATATGAACTATGTTTTATATCCTACCTTTGAGGAAACAGATTGTTATTCTCAAAAACATCCAGCTTCCCTCGCTGTTTGCTCTTATATCACTTGTGTCCAATGTTATCTGTAAAATAACTGTGTTCCTAAAATGTTCAAAACTGATCTAAAGTCAAACAGTCTGCTGCAAGTCATTCAAAAAGTAGACAACGTTCACACATACCAGCTCTTCAAGTTCAACTTCTGTAGCATAAAACCAAACTTTGGGATTCTGCAGAAGCCAAAAATAATTAAATAGTGAAGGAGTCCACTGTAACAACCTCGCTCTGAATGTGTGAAGCCAAAGCAGCTATCAGAGTCCAAGAGGCTTAAATTGGGTTAAAAAAAACAACAAAAAACAACAACATTCTGGTAACTTCCAGTTTGAGCTCATCTTTTATTATCTTTTATTATCAAGGAAAAGAGGGAGGATAAGAAAGCAAGACGGGAGAAACAAACTCCTTCTGCACACAGGCAGTTTCTAAGGTAGGGAGTATACCGGCTGATAAGAAGGCACCTGTGGAAACATAATTTAAGGTCTGGGAAACACACCGTTAACTGTTTCACATGAAGACGAACAGGCAGATGGGGCCTCCAGGTGAGTTTATACACAGAGAAGGAAGTTAGAACACTTTAAATAAGAATCACCATAATCTATAACAATATAATGTTGGGCTAATGATCTAAAGCAGGGGTCCCCAAACTACGGCCCGTGGGCCGGATCCGGCCCGCCTCCACATTTGGTCCGGCCCTCTGAAAATTACCAGAAAGCATTCAGATTTTTTATTTTTTATTTTTTCTCATTTATTGTATTTTCCGGTTTATATGTGGAATTTTCTTCAACCACCAGGGGGCTCTTTAGCAGGAAGTGTGTCCTGTAAACTGTGGGTGTTTTGTTTTGCATGGTGCATTGCTGCCATCTGTTGGACTTTTAGGGAACTGCTTGACTTTTATGTTATTTAATCAGTACGGTTGTTTGCTAGCGGTAGAGCAGGTGAACACGTGTCTGTTATGAACCCGCATTCCAGGTTGAATTCTTCGAAGCAATGCCTGTAGGTAGCAGCTTATACTTCAAAACGAGCCTTTATGTTAACATATGAGAAATAAATATATTATCGTTACATTCCCTCAATGGAATATATACTAGTTAGTCCCAGTGACCGTTTCACTCTTGGGTTTTGCCCATGTCCTTTCTGGGTAAAAATCAATCGAGAAACAATTTCCGGCCCCCCACCAGAGAAGGGAAAAATTATGTGGCCCTCACAGGAAAAAGTTTGGGGACCACTGATCTAAAGTAATAATACATGTTTGATGTTATAAATGTAAGAATAACATAAAAAATTCTAACTTTCTCCCTCCTCTTTATCATTTTTACATGTCACCATTTGAAAGAAAGAAAGGAAAAAGGAAATAGTAGGAGACCAATAAAAGGAAGGTTATTATTGTTTTTTGTCTAAACATACAAATACACAATAAAAGAAGTATAAGAAATGTATAATGTAAAAAGAGACAGGAGAAAATCAAATGCAGTTCTTATCACTAACACCTCTTGTTTTCACATTTTCAGTGTAGGATTCATTCAATCTGTTTATTGTCATATAATCCACTATTCAGCATCTTTATCCATATGAAACAAGTCGTCCTCATCGGTGTTAGAAGTTGGTCTGACCATAAAACAGGAGGGAGGATGGCAAAGACATAAGCTGTCAGGAGACGGTGACATAAAGGAGTGCATCTGTAAGTATGAGAAGTGCGTGCAAAATTCGTCCATGATTTCAAACAGTTTGCTCAGTTCGTGCTTGATAAGATGTTATAGTCAAAGCAAGTCCTTGAGTCCAGCCATGCGATGCCATGTATGTCAGTTGGAGGGGGAGAGGAGATAGGGTAGAGCGGCTTGTTTACATATTCTCAAGGAAATTTGGCCTGCCAGAAACAGACACAGTGGCGTCAATTGAGATTAGAATAATTCTTCTGCTGGGGCAGGTATAATATTTTTTCAAACTGCCCTAAAGTCTCCTGGTGCATCTCAGAAACCTATTATCCAGATTAGTATAGTGCAATCCAGATGCTGAAGGGGTAAAATCAAACTTTATTGAAGTTTCACAAATCAGATAAAAGTTTCACAAATCACAAACATGGTTATAAAGATTCTTCTTGAAGAGGAGAATAATCGAGTCCAGATTTGAAGCGTCTATCGATTTTTAATTAGAGCAGTTCTAGTATAAAAGAGATGCAAAAAATGGTGAAAATCGAACTTGATTGAGTTTTCACAAATCAGAAAAATGTTTCACAAAACCCAAATATAGTTTTAAATATCCAGCTTGAAGAGGAGAATAATCAAGTCCAAGTTTGAAGTGTCTAAGTGTAGTAGTTTTTAAACTAGAGATGATTAAAGATGCGGAAGGTAGTGAAAAATTTGGTGGAATTGCCTTTTAGCTATTGGAAGCTAGAATTGGAAACCAACTTCAGCTTTGTGTTGAGAGATGTGTGCTACGTGACTGTTTTTGTACCGGAAGTAGCGTCAGTTGTAAAGTTGTAACTAGAAGAAGAAACTTTGTAACAGTTGTTTTGTGCGCCAATGCTGGCTGTTCCAGAGAGAACAACTCTGAGAAAAATACACATAGAGTGGATCAAATCTAGTTGCTGAAACTAAAGAACTCCTGTCTGTTTCATGAGTGCCGCACAATCACTGAATTAAAATACTTAAATAAATTTCAATAATCCTTACCATGTTCCGTTATTGACTGAAGCTAAATTTAAGTTGCTTTTTATGCATTTTTATGCTTCGCTGTTAAACATTTTCTTCATTGCAGTTCCGGTAGAACTGTTTGTTCCGTTCACATAGATACTTTATACAGAATGCTGCAAAAGTAAAAAAAACTATAATTTTGATGGCAGTTACAAGAAACAAAGTAACTACATTCAATTGACCTTTAGACAATGTTCTGTATGAATCCTTATCTCTCCAGGGCTGCTGCTTTATAAACCACAGTTCTCAGCTCAGCACACTTAGAAACATTGCTTGTTTCAACTTCTTTTCAGTCTGCTTTGGAACAGGTAAGACTTTTTAATATGCAAAGAGTATCTTTGCTTAGAATTCACTGCAGCAAATAAAAATATTGTGTTTATTGAGTTCTAAAATATTTTTTGAAGACAATTTGATTATGAATTTAATTTCACTGATATTAATATGGTGGAGGTTTGTGGCTGTTTCTTGAAATCAAAGATCTGTGGATCTCCAAAGCTGAATTTGTTGATTAATTGCTGTGAATCAGAATTCTGGAAACCAAAGATTTTGTAGCAACCTCACAAGAGGACATCAAAATTGTTGGGAATCAGAACTCGCTTTCAGGTTTGGCTAATGTAATTATTACGAATTGTAATATTTTATTATTAATTAATAAAGCCAAGCTCAGTCTCTAATCAAGGAATGAAGAAACTTTACACACAAGGAATTATTACTGACATGCTGATTTCTAGTCAAGTCTGAAAATGTATTAACCAAATAGCCAAACTTTACAGCTGAATTATTATGTGAATAACGTATTTCTTTAAGTACTGGCAGGTAACCTACTACTACTGTTGAGACAAAAGGAATATATCGGATAATAAAATGGGAATCAAATCAGATTAATGAATGAACTTCAATGGGGTTTTTTCTCAAATATCTACTGGCTGAGCCTTTTTGTGTTATCTAGCCTTTATGTTGTCTTGTGGGTCAAAAGTGACCCACTACCATGTTTAGCTGTAGAAAAAAATACCTTAAACTATCTTTTTTAACTTGAAATTTTATGACTTCTCCTAAATTGAACGATTCATTAGAAAAAGTGATACTTTGTTTATGTTTATGTTTCCATGAGGTCTGTAGACCACTAGGGTACAAAGATTGTCTTATGGGTCATTTTTGACCCGAGAATTATAAAACCATTAAAACACCTGAAAAAAGTTAAAGGGTCAGACACAAACTTTCTCTATTACATACACACACCCACACACCCAAAGGTCATACACAGACTTTCTCTATTACATACACACACACCTACACACCGCATATGCACCCATACACATGTCAAATAAACTGGATTGATGTATGAATTGAACTTGTATTTGACCTGCACCTGCAGCTAACCCCTCACATTACACCAGCTCCCAAACACAACAAAAAACAATATCAGACATAATGAAAACAAATTCACTATACAGAATATAAAGGTATCCTAAATCAAAGTACCTCTAGTTGATTCCTTGCTGAAAGTGAGTAGATGTTTGACTGTCCAACAGGGCCTATGTTTTACGTTCACATATATTGTCCTACATAAGATGCTGAACATCTTATGTTCAATGTCTTATGCTGAAGATGTTCTTATTTTGAACATTTTCAACATTTTCTGTTGAAGAATGTTGTATGAGAGATGTATTTTCATAATTTACCTTCTAAATATAAAAGAATGAACGGTTGACAAAAAAGTTACAGATTGTTGACTTTTTATCCTTTTCATTATAGGTAATTCAGAAGTAATTACTTCACAGTTATATAATTACAATAATAAACCCTTATTGTGTAAAAGAAAACTTATGGCAGTTGTTTTGTGGCAAATAAAATGTAACGCTGTTGATTGTCTTTTTGTATTGTGTAACAAAAAAATAAATGATAAATTAATTAAATTGAGTTAAATTGATAAATAACAGATTGTTCCATCATGCAAAAAAAAAAGAAAAAAGGGGGAGTTTCAAATTCAAGTAAGCTGCTTTATTTTGGTGCTTTTGTTAGGGCGGGTCATTTCGACCCGTAGGTCAAGGGGAGTAAAAACAATGTTAAGATCGCACAAAGGCGAGAACTGTTTACTAATGTTTCACCATCAATAACTGCTGCTCCCAATAACAAATATGCTCTAACTCAAAAATGTGATAGTAGCTTATGCTAACACATGCAAAAATAAAATATAACTGAACAAACATACATATATAAAAATGTACATAAAAGTTCAAATGCATGTATGAATTAAATGTGTAATTGTTTCGATAAATATGTAAATGTATTTAATACATGGGTAAGAAATATTACCCATATTAAAAATATTAACATGTTTAAACAATATTTAACCATTAAGTCTGACTTGTATTCAATTCAGATTAAAGTCATGTGTTAGCAGCAGATCCTAAATGTATCTGTCAGCCAGACCCTCTAAATTCAATGGGTGACTATGTTAAAATGTTAAAATGAATGGTTGTGTAAACAGATATTTACCCATGTATTAAATACATTTACATATTTTTGAAACAATCCCCCATTTAATTCATACCTGCATTTGAACTTTAATGTACATTTTTATATATGTATCTCTGATCAGCTATTTTTTTATTTTTAATTTGTTAGCATAACCCTTTCGGTAACCTTTATTTGATGGACATGACAACGTGGCATTAACCAAGAATCGTCATCTGTCATAAATATGTCATAATAATTAATTATCAAAATGTACAATGTTATGTATCTTTGTGTATTATTACATTACAAAATTTGGATAATTAATTGGTTAATGTCAAGTTGCCATTACAAAGACATTTTAAATAATGTCAACTTTGCATGAAAAGTGTCATTATTTACTGAATGACATTTAATGAGAACCGTCATAAATATTCATGAAAACTCCTTAATGTTTATGGCAATGTCATGTCAGTTTTATGCACACCCCTTCAAATAAAGTGTATAACTTTATTATATGTTGTATATAAATAAGTCATGAAAATAACAAAAATGTCATGCTTTATGTAAAAAACAGTTAATTCCTTTTCTATCTTTTTGCTTCTGACTACAGCGATGCTGCCTGATTCAACTTCAGCTTTCCTTCTCCTAAGCGTCCTCCTTGTTCACTCCTCTGTTCTGTCATGTCGGACTGGGACCCAAATAGAGTGTGATGCTGCTCCTTTTGTACCAGGACACAACCTGATGGGGCAAGGTTTTGATATAGTCACACTGGAGAGGAAAAGAGCTCACGTGATTGATGTGAAGACTTACCTGACCGCTAGACACAGCTGTATTCTCTGCTCCAACCCTCTTCAAAACGATGTCTACCAAAAAGTAATTTAAGAACCTTCTATTAACTTGTTGTTGAAAATTTGCGATATAAATTAAATTACCTTTACCGTTAAGATGTATAAATCAACAGCTGCTTGTCTGACTTGATAGATTAACAATAATGTGACTTTTCTTCCTTTTAAGCTTCCATCTTCTGTTGTGGACTTCCATGCCATCCCTCGATGTAATCCTGAAATACACAACAGTTTTCATACTTCTGCTAGGTAGAGTATTTAAACGGCATTGTCAACACTGTAAACATTGAATCAGATAATTGCACTAATTATGTTCCAATCAAGAGAATATGTTTATTGGACCCTTGTGTGGTAGACCAACACATAGTGCATTTATTTCTGAAGTAGAAGCAAAGTATGAAAAATTTTATGTGCATTTATGCTGATACTCCGGTGCTTATAAATATATTCCAAGTGCAACCAGTTCACTTGAAAGGTCACCAATAGAATAATTAAACACATTTTAAAGCCTTTATTTCTGTTAATTATGATGATTTTCAATTTACAAGTATAGTAATGCAAACCTAACATTGAAAATTGGTGTGGGACCCGAGTGGTAATATTGATTTAGTTAAAACTGTAGCAAATGTGAGCAGGGTTTTAAAAAATTAGCCTGTTAAGATTGACAATAATTTACTAAAAAATAAGTACAAAAAAAAAAAAAATGCAGCGCAACGTTATGTAGCAGAGTCAATAAAAAAATGTCTGTGGAAGGAAGTTGGAATGGAGTCTTAGATAAGGGACGAGGGCGTGGCCCTCTCGCCGGCACTCGGTCTTCTTCTCGCCACCAGCCAACCGATCCGCTGCGGCCACCAGCACACGAAGCTTGGCAGCGATCCAGCCACTCAGTCCTCCACAGCCATAGACATTAATACATAGATGCCTCGTGGAGCAGATCAGCCCGTTGCTGCGATACATAACAGCGTCCGCCATATTGAATGTGGAATATGTGCCAGTAAGGTAATACAAGTGAATGAACCGAACTTTATAAAGTGCCATTCTACAAAGTATTTTAAGTTAATACCTGCCATTGACACATTTTCTCTCACACACTAATATATTTAGCAATCAAAGAAATGACTAAAGACAGAGTTTCTAATTTTTGATGTGATTATTTCATTGTTTTGGGGCATTTCTGAATAAAGAGCACAATGTTTTATTTGATAGAAACAATTCTGATAATTTTTATAATGACATTGATGAACAGACACATATTTACAGTGTTTTATTAAAGAATATATTTACATAATTCCATAATTTAATGTATATTTAACATTTCAAGCCAAGGAACAAATAATTTTCCTGTATTTATTTTTATACGTTATTGAGAAATGACTTTTGATTTATAAATCACTCATTGTCAAACATTAAACTACATCTTTTTCTTATTTTTTTCCAGAGAATTTACAGTATGTCAACTCTGCTATTGACAGCAAAGAGTGAAAATAATTTTAACAGAGTAAATTATTTTTTATTTCATTACATAAACTACATAAATACACTAATACTTCAGATTGAGATATTTAAAAATACACAAAAAGTGAAAGAATAAAACATTTATTTGTTATACTGAGAAAGCTGGTCACAGGCAGGGCTTCAGTCTGCTGGTCACACTGGGAGAGCTCCAATGACTTCTGAGACGTCCTGGTCCACAGGCTAAAGCCAAGGATAAAAGAGAAATTATCCAAAAGTGTAGTAGAAAATACATACCATATGTTTTGTATATGTTTTGTTAAGGAAGACTATCTAAATTAGTTAATTTTGGAAAAAGTCTGGCTCTCTCTTCCTCTTGGATACCAGGTCCTCCCAGCAGGCCGCATGTATCCACAAGGAAAACAATAATGCGTGTTGACGTCACAGAATTGAAGTTTAATCCAATATAAGACAATGCATGAACTTACACAGAAACTGCAGAACAACGAAGACATACATTCATTTACCTGGTACAAATGGAAAGAATAAGGAAAGAAAGNCCCACACACCCAAAGGTCATACACAGACTTTCTCTATTACATACACACACACCTACACACCGCATATGCACCCATACACATGTCAAATAAACTGGATTGATGTATGAATTGAACTTGTATTTGACCTGCACCTGCAGCTAACCCCTCACATTACACCAGCTCCCAAACACAACAAAAAACAATATCAGACATAATGAAAACAAATTCACTATACAGAATATAAAGGTATCCTAAATCAAAGTACCTCTAGTTGATTCCTTGCTGAAAGTGAGTAGATGTTTGACTGTCCAACAGGGCCTATGTTTTACGTTCACATATATTGTCCTACATAAGATGCTGAACATCTTATGTTCAATGTCTTATGCTGAAGATGTTCTTATTTTGAACATTTTCAACATTTTCTGTTGAAGAATGTTGTATGAGAGATGTATTTTCATAATTTACCTTCTAAATATAAAAGAATGAACGGTTGACAAAAAAGTTACAGATTGTTGACTTTTTATCCTTTTCATTATAGGTAATTCAGAAGTAATTACTTCACAGTTATATAATTACAATAATAAACCCTTATTGTGTAAAAGAAAACTTATGGCAGTTGTTTTGTGGCAAATAAAATGTAACGCTGTTGATTGTCTTTTTGTATTGTGTAACAAAAAAATAAATGATAAATTAATTAAATTGAGTTAAATTGATAAATAACAGATTGTTCCATCATGCAAAAAAAAAAGAAAAAAGGGGGAGTTTCAAATTCAAGTAAGCTGCTTTATTTTGGTGCTTTTGTTAGGGCGGGTCATTTCGACCCGTAGGTCAAGGGGAGTAAAAACAATGTTAAGATCGCACAAAGGCGAGAACTGTTTACTAATGTTTCACCATCAATAACTGCTGCTCCCAATAACAAATATGCTCTAACTCAAAAATGTGATAGTAGCTTATGCTAACACATGCAAAAATAAAATATAACTGAACAAACATACATATATAAAAATGTACATAAAAGTTCAAATGCATGTATGAATTAAATGTGTCATTGTTTCGATAAATATGTAAATGTATTTAATACATGGGTAAGAAATATTACCCATATTAAAAATATTAACATGTTTAAACAATATTTAACCATTAAGTCTGACTTGTATTCAATTCAGATTAAAGTCATGTGTTAGCAGCAGATCCTAAATGTATCTGTCAGCCAGACCCTCTAAATTCAATGGGTGACTATGTGCTACACTGTTAAAATGAATGGTTGTGTAAACAGATATTTACCCATGTATTAAATACATTTAAATATTTTTTTGAAACAATCCCGCATTTAATTCATACAAGCTTTTGATCTTTTACGTACATTTTCACATATGTATCTCTGATCAGTAATTTTTATTCTTGCATTTGTTAGCATAACCCTTTCTGTAACACTTTGACGGTCATGACAACTTGACATTAATTGAGAATCATCATCTGTCATAAATATGTCATAATAGTTAATTATCAAAATTTTAAATGTTATGTAACTTTGTGTATTATTACATTACAAAATTTTGATAAATAAATGGTTAATGTCAAGTTGCCATTACAAAGACTTTTTAAATAATGTCAAATTTGCATGAAAAGTGTCATTATTTACTGAATGACATTTAATGAGAACCGTCATAAATATTCATGAAAACTCCTTAATGTTTATGGCAATGTCATGTCAGTTTTATGCACACACCTTCAAATAGTGTATAACTTTGTTATATGTTGTATATAAATAAGTCATAAAAATAACAAAAATGTCATGCATTATGTAAAAAACAGTTAATTCCTTTTCTATCTTTTTGCTTCTGACTACAGCGATGCTGAATTAAAACAGTTAATTCCTTTTCTATCTTTTTGCTTCTGACTACAGCGATGCTGCCTGATTCAACTTCAGCTCTTCTCCTAAGCGTCCTCCTTGTTCACTCCTCTGTTCTGTCATGTCGGACTGGGACCCAAATAGAGTGTGATGCTGCTCCTTTTGTACCAGGACACAACCTGATGGGGCAAGGTTTTGATATAGTCACACTGGAGAGGAAAAGAGCTCACGTGATTGATGTGAAGACTTACCTGACCGCTAGACACAGCTGTATTCTCTGCTCCAACCCTCTTCAAAACGATGTCTACCAAAAAGTAATTTAAGAACCTTCTATTAACTTGTTGTTGAAAATTTGCGATATAAATTAAATTACCTTTACCGTTAAGATGTATAAATCAACAGCTGCTTGTCTAACTTGATAGATTAACAATAATGTGACTTTTCTTCCTTTTAAGCTTCCATCTTCTGTTGTGGACTTCCATGCCATCCCTCGATGTAATCCTGAAATACACAACAGTTTTCATACTTCTGCTAGGTAGAGTATTTAAACGGCATTGTCAACACTGTAAACATTGAATCAGATAATTGCACTAATTATGTTCCAATCAAGAGAATATGTTTATTGGACCCTTGTGTGGTAGACCAACACATAGTGCATTTATTTCTGAAGTAGAAGCAAAGTATGAAAAATTTTATGTGCATTTATGCTGATACTCCGGTGCTTATAAATATATTCCAAGTGCAACCAGTTCACTTGAAAGGTCACCAATAGAATAATTAAACACATTTTAAAGCCTTTATTTCTGTTAATTATGATGATTTTCAACTTACAAGTAATGCAAACCTAATATTGAAAATTGGTGTGGGACCCGAGTGGCAATATTGATATAGTTAAAACTGTTGCTATGTGAGCAGGGTTTTAAAAATGAGCCTGTTAAGATCGACAATAATTTACTACAACATAAATCAAAAAAATGCCGGGCAACGTTATGTAGTAGAGTCAATAAAAAAATGTCTGTGGAAGGAAGTTGGAATGGAGTCTTAGCTAAGGGACGGGGGCGTGGCCCTCTCGCCGGCACTCGGTCTTCTTCTCGCCACCAGCCAACCGGTCCGCTGCGGCCACCAGCAGACGAAACTTGGCAGCGATCCAGCTACTCGGTCCTCCACAGCCATAGACATTAATACATAGATGCCTCGTGGAGCAGATCAGCCCGTTGCTGCGATACATAACAGCGTCCGCCATATTGAATGTGGAATATGTGCCAGTAAGGTAATACAAGTGAATGAACCGAACTTTATAAAGTGCCATTCTACAAAGTATTTTAAGTTAATACCCGTCATTGACACATTTTCTCACACACATTAATATATTTGGCAATCAAAGAAATGACTAAAACCAGAG